CTGTTTTTGAAGGCTCCCCCTCAGATGCACTTCACTCTCTCTCAAGTATCACTCACCCGTGTTTCCCACACAAATATGTTTATGCCCAAAGCTTTCACGACTCAAACACTCTCTCTCTCCTTGGGTGATCTCTTCTATTGTGCACGCCTCTGTATTTATGCTCAGCCCCCTGCATAGGGTTTCCATTTCGTTTCATCATATTTGTTTTTCCTTTTCTTTATCTTCATTCCTTTTGCATACTCTTTCCATTTTCCATTTTTGTTCAATGACATGTTTTCTTTTCTCTTGCAAGTTATTCCTTTGTTGGTTGTTCCTTCCCTTTCTTTATATTGGCATGTTTCTCTTTTTGTCTGAAATCTTCTAGATGTTGAATCTTCTCTTGGTGCTCTTTCCTTGCATTAACATTCTCCCCCTTTTTGACTTTATGCTTATTACACACTTATGCTTGAATACACATTCATCCACTTGGCTCCTTGATATCATCCTCAACGATTTCAACCATGCATATTCACTCACCATCTTCAACCATATACCTTTCTGATCATTCTCCTCTTGTATCATCTCTCCCCCTATGTGTATGATCATATACCTTTCGAGCCTTTTCTCCCCCTGTGTATAAGCATAAATTCAAAACCATACCTGAGCTTTTGATTGCTCAATTCCGGGCGCGTGTCTTAGGATCCTTGAGAGAGTTTCTGAAAATCTGGTTGTCAACCCATGTGTAGCAATTGCTTGATGTCCTTTGCCCAGTTAAAACACATTTGTTATCCGCATTGGTCACAAAACATGCATCCTTTGTAAATTTCACCTCCATGTCATTATCGCATAGTTGACTTATGCTGATCAAATTAGCCTTTAAGCCCTGTACGACCTTGACATCCATTAGCTTGGATACTCCACCACATTCCAGAGTTCCTTTACCAATGATCTTCCCTTGTTTTCCATCTCCGAATGTGACACTGCTGCTTCTGAGTACTACTTCACAATTTGTCAACAGCTCTTGACAATCTGTCATATGCCTTGAACATCCGCTGTCCAAATACCAGACACTGTCTCCACTCGTGTGCCCAGACGTACAGGCAACATTGCATGACACATCGGTTTTACGAATCCACCTAAGATTCTTTGAAGGATGAGACAGATAAGAGTGTTTCAAGTTCGAATGAACGTACCAATTAGAGTTCCTTTTCTGTCGTAGATAATAGCAATTCCTTCGAATATGTCCTCTCTTCCCACAGTAATAGCATCTTCTGCACTCTTTTTGCTCTTGAGAGGTTCGTAGATCCACTTTGACTCTTGGAGTATTTCTGACAGTGCCAAAAGTACTTCGTATCCAGTCAGGTACTTCTCGTTCAAGATTTCCTCCGGATACGAATGTTGGGTGATATTCCTCCTTTCCCATATATCCAAGTCCTGATTGATCTCGAGCACTCCTTCCCTGTCCAAGTAGATGATCCAACTTACCAGTTCCACTTCCAAGAAGATGAAGATTTTTCTTGGTCTCTTCAATTTGACATCTCATGAGCGACACTTCTTCTTCTTTTTGGGACAGTTGATGCTGAGTAGATGTCAGTTGGATCTGAGTATTTTTTAGTTCCTTCTCCAACTGTTTCTTCTCATCCAGCAGATATCTATTCATTTGAACGAGTTTGGTCATCTCGTTGTATAAGTCGTCCTCAGTTATTTCTTCATCATCACTTGAATCATCTTCCAGTGTTTCTTCTCCTTCTTCAATGATTCCAAAGAATGCAACAGACTTAGAAACTTCTTC